TTATTCTAAATGTGAATAAAAGGATATGCACTCCCCCCCGAAATATTTTCTTTAAATTCAGTAGGTTTTTTCTCACACTGAGCAATTTCTTTGCCAATAGTGCAACAAAGAAGCATTCTTTTTGACTATGAACATTCTAAAGCAGCTTTTGTCTGCCACTAATTCATCAGATCACATATCTAGCTTCATAGGTAATAAAATAAAAACTTGTTTCTGTTGAAAACCTTACAATCCAGGAAAATCGTGATTATTCTTATGTATCCTTTCTTCTTTGTAATAGGATCTAAGTCAGATCTTAGGCATAAGGCCAACAGATGAAAGCAGTGGAAAGATAAAGACAATTTTGAAATAATCTATTATTTTTAACTGCTGTCTTGTAAAAAAAGAATGAGACAAAAAAACCCACAAACAAAACAAAACCCCAAAACAACCGAGACATTTCCCTATCCAGATATGTTTAGATTTGCAATAAATCCAGATTCAGCTGCAAGCATGCCACAGATTGATTATTCATGCAAGAATTCTGTCTTGTGTGTGGTTTAGATGTTTATTTTTCTAAATGAGAATTACATCAGCTGAATGTGTCTTTCAAACCAGTAAGGCAGACTCCGCGGGATTTTTGTTTCAGTAAAAGCTGTAAAATAACTAAGGGCAAATTACTCCATTAGGTTTCCACAGATGTGTCTTTTACATCCAAACCCTGGGGCTGTATATGTAATCTCAGCATGTACCTTTCCAGCTTATTTAAGGGGCTAAAGATTGCAAAAAGGTCACGAGGGGCAACCTGCCTTAAAAACAGGAGGATGGCAAGACTGTACGGGATCAGCTGACTAGCACAGGTGAAGTTTTCAGCTTGATAAACAGTGTGCTCTTACTACATAGCCATGTAGTTGCTAGTGTTGGCAGAAAGACTGAGGTAGACATTTATGCCCCGAGAACGTGGGAAGGGCAGGATTCTCTCTTTCATCATCAGCAAGACCAGACAAAGTTGATGACAAACCTGCAGCTCAGTTACAGCTTTGTCGTAGGTTACTCTCTGAGCCATGCAGTTTCCCTGCTCCCCATACTTGCCTTCCCCACAGATTTTGCAACAGAATTAGATTTGATTTGTAACCACCATTGCAGCAATAGCTGCCTTACTAGTACTAGCTTTGGACTTCATAAGCATCCTAAGCACTGTGATTGCCAGCTGGAAGTCCCTCTGGACACTGTGCGATGAACCTTGATACCCTCTCCAGTTCCTTTTTCTGTAGAAAACCTCCTTATCTGACATGTGCCTTAGCATAGTTTCCAGGAGGATCTGCTCCCTGATTTTGCCGGGCACTGCAGTGAGACTGACCAGCCTGTAGTGCCCTGGGTCTTTCTTTTCTCCCTTTTTAAAAATGGGTGTGATGTTTCCCCTTTTTCAGTCACGGGGAACTTCACCAGCCTGCCATGACTTCTCAAATACGATGAATAATGGCTTGGCAACTATATCTGCCAGTTCCCTCAGGACCCACATCTCATCAGGTCCATCAGTGAATTCATGCTTACAGCATGGGCCGTTCATTAACTTGTGTGAAGATGTTACCAAATCCTCCTCTGGTCCCATAGCTTTGCTCTGGGAGTATGAGAGGGGGAAGACAGGTGGGAAGATGAGGCCTATTTGTGATGCCAGTGTATCTGTAGGTGGTGTCATGAAGTAATAATTACTAGCAGCCACTGGCAATGATGGCAACACCTGAATGACCTCAACCCATTTACAAAGAGAAAGATATCAAATAGTAAAGAAAAATATCCACAGGTCTTAGCATAAAGCTTCTCAGCATATTTGCTGACATGTGATCTAATCATGGGTGACAACCAGCACAATTTCTTCATGATTAAATCCTTTCAAGGAAAAGCCTCTATGTTAAGGATCCTGGTACTAAACTACATCCACGCTGAATTATTTCCCTAATACATTGGCAAGAGTATCTCTTGCATTTCTTTTCATTTTGCAAAATGACTCTTCTAGAGAAGAAACGACTTCGTTCCTCATTTCATCAATACACCTATCAAAATGTCAGTGCTGTGACCTGATTGTCCAATATGTAATAAAGGTCAGTGTATGATCAGTTAATACCCATTTAGCTATTTGCAGAATTGCCTGTGCCTTGCTCTATCAGTGACTTAGTAGAGGTGAGACACTTCTGCTTCCTGATAACAGCAGGGTCTGAAGGTTCAGGCATCCTCACTAACATCATTGACTATAGAAGAAAAATATTTTGTCTTCAAATATTCTATATACATATGCATATTACCTAATATGCTACAGATTTAAACTCTTGCTGGTGAAGTAAATCAGCATCTACAGTTACAGGCTCTTCCTATTCTACTTTTCTTGGATTCCTGCTATTTCCACACATAAGCACCCGCACTTCTTTGGTCCCACATCTCACTTCCATTTTGTTTTGGTGAGCCCTTGTCACTGTCTAGTCTGCTGTTCCTTCCTTGAGCTCTCCCTTTGATTACCTACCACCCTGTGCCCTTGGTTGTCCGTAAACATTCCTAGCTTTCTGAGACGGTTTTCTTCATGCTTTTTAGGATCTATTTCTGTCTTTTCTGTGATTCAGTCTCTGGCAACTTTTTACTTGGCTCACCTTAAGTACTGATGATTCCCAAAGGATTAAACAGCAGAGCTGTTAATGCAGGTCTTTTTCAGCAATTTCTGATCAATGTAATTTGTTTCAACTGGTGCATAGAAATCACGTGCTTTTCAGCCAACAGTGCTAAGAGTTTTTCCCTAGAAGGTCTGGCAATTATCCATAGGGTGTGATGTGTGATGATGGCATAAAATATTCTGGGATACCTGCATAATTACTTGGGAAACACTGTCATCAAATCCCGTGGTATGGGTTTATTCAGAAGAGCGATTCCTACTCCATAATAACATTCATTGCTTCCCTTCCAGAGAGTATGCACAGTTTTGTATCCAGGCAACAAAAAAAATCATTGCAGTTATTCAGTGTATCACTTGTTAATTTCCTATCCTAGTGATAGGATACGTGAAAATGGTTCAAAGCTACACCAGGGAGGTTGACACTGGGCATTAGGAAGCATTTCTTTACTGAGAAGGTGGTCAAACACTGGAACAGGCTCCCTAGAGAGGTGGTCAATGCCCCAGGCCTGTCAGTGTTTGAGAGCCATTTGTACAATCCCTTAACAACGTGCTTTAACTTGGTCAGCCCTGAATTGGTCAAGGAGTTGGACTAGATGATCACCGTAGATCCCTTTCAACCAAAAAAGCCTGTCCTATTCCATACTAGTACTGGATTAGCAAAGTTACTTCTGCGAAGCCCTCTTTTACCTTCAGCTCTGGAAATTGCAAACGTAATTTTGGTTGAGCTGGCTTTTATAACATTAACAACTGTTAATGTTACAAACAGGGCTATAACAAGGTGTCAGATTTTACAGTTGGCACAATTTGAGGTAGGAATAAATAAAGCATATTAGGTGCTTCATTACAAATTTCACCTTACGATCAAACACCTCTGATAATAGCAGATACCTCATGTGGAGAAGTAGTCTGGTGCACAACAGCACAGGTCAGGACTAGCCAATGTAACCTGCTTTAAATTGTGCACTTCTCAAACATAAGTGTGCCCCATCTTACTTCATAATAATTGTCACACCAAAGCACTAGCCTTAGCAACAGATTCCACATTTGTGATTTGGAAATGGCAGCTGAAAGCCCCGGGGCCAGCCCTCACTGTGGAGACTGGGCCTTCCCATGGAAACTGCTGCAGTCGGAAGGGTTGATTTAGGGTTTCCCAGGAAAGCAGAAATCAGGAGTGAGTAAAAAAATGCAGACCTTGTGTGAGAAAGGAGCAGTGCTTACTGACTGGGTGGGCCTACAGGCAGGCTTTCCTTTTAACATCACAGATTTGTCAGTTTCCTGGAAATGATGAAGACAAATGTGGAAGAATGAAGAATGATGTGAAAACCACAAAGCAGTCCAGCCTATGTGTCTCAAGTTAAGCATCAGAACCCGTTTTGGCACTCAGGTTCCTTAGTTTTTGTCACTGCTTTTGAATATTTTTATTATTCTTGTTACAGCTAACTAAAAATGAAAAAAAAAAAAAAAGCCAGTCTTCTTAGTACTACAAATGTGGTTACAAATGCACTGGTGTTTCTAGGTTGTCTGATTGATAGCATCTGGTCACCAGGAGCATAATATGGTAGCTAGTATAAAATCATCAAATACAACCAGTGTGTTGTTCATACACCACTATGTCTTCCAGCTTGTAGAAATTACAATTGGCCTACCAACCAAACGCAGTGTTTTATTCAAATCAGGCGATGGTCTACATCAGCATTTTCAGGCCCCTACAAAACTGTCCAGCAGAGGTGTGAATGCTGCACTCCTGAGAAAAGCCAGGCTTTTCTTGGATACTTTATAAGGCCTTTCCTTCAGTAAAGCTGTGGGTCACCATGTACTGAAATTGCTACAAGTTCTGTACTGCCATGGGCATGTTAACCTGTGCTTTTTAAATCAGTGGGATTGATGCAGTGCACCTTCCTCATTTTGCTGACAAATGCTGTATGTAACACCTAACACATGATGTTCCTGTTTCCCTTTTAGGATGCTGTGTACCTTAGTCCCTGCCTTTTTTTTCTGGGGTGTGACACACACAGCTCCTCCCCTTAAGCCCACAAAAGACATAAAAGCAGGCAGCTGTGCCACCTGAGTGCACATCTGCTCTTCTCCTGTGGAGCTGGCTTTGCTCTTTCTTGCTGTGCAGTGCTGAGGAGTAGATCCACCCTCAGGCTATTGCTTCTTAACACTGCTGGTCTTCCCGGCTACTCAGGTATTTGCAGCTAAAGTAAACTGAATGGGGATGGAATAAATGTGTATGAGTAGAAAATGTGGAAAATTCTCAGTGACTGGTAGTGTATCTCTGAACAGTTGAAGGGCTTTGACTAAATGTGCTTATTTATCAGGCTTTACATTTTTGTATCACCTTTGGAATCAGTTTGACTTTTCTTATTTGATTGTCAAAACATTGGCTTCAGAAATGTTTGAGGGTTTGTGTCTTTTTGTGGGAAAACTGTGTAAATGGAACTAATGGTACTGGAACTAAATGAACCTACCAGAGGGATTCTGTCTTCTGCAGCACTGGTTCCACTATCCTTTAGCTATTTTTAATTGTTTGCCCAGTGATTGTTGATACACTTTTTTTGACTTGTTCTTCTTAGAGTTTCTCTGAAGTGATTCTTAACAAAGTAAACAAACTTTCTAGTTTAGACGTATGTATATGTGAAAATCAAGAAATTGCCACAGCAGCATTAGGGTAGATTTGCTTCTGTCTTGCTTGCATTACATAGTTTTAAAATAGGCATGAATTGCTGCCTATTCTGATCTGGTTGTATTTCTAAAACTTTCTGTGCAGGTAAAAAAGACTGCATGTAGGCATATAGGTGTATTTTATGATGAATCAGCCCTTGCATATAGTGAGCATATGCTACCAATTGTAGGATATCATCTCAATGCTTATATCCACAAATCTAATCAGCAAGAATGGAGGACAAGAAAATCTGGAAAGAAGATTCAGATAGTAAAGACAGTATCTGGTGCTAGAGACAATGCAGTTGGCATATTCAATGCTATTTTTCCTTCTCAGCAAGAAGGAAGGGGTTATAAATCTTGCTTCTGCTGTTACTTCTGTCAGTCAATGAAAATACTAAACCTGCTGTGGTAAAGCTGAATGCGGCTCTTGTTACTCCACCATCTCAAAAAGAATGTAACTGATAGTTGATGTACCACAAGTAGTTTTGATGACAGAAAATATTGCAGCCCATTGTATCAAATTAGACTTCATTTGTTCTACCTGAAAAGTCTTGTTCTAGAATGATGTGTTGTTTTCTTTGGCTTTTTTTAAGGAATGGAGAAGGTGGTTGCTTGTCCATACAAAAGGCCAGATGCTCTCTATAGGTTGATATGCTTTCCATGGGCTGGAAGTGGAGCTTCTCATTTTGCTCATTGGGGCAGCCTCTTCAGCAGTTCAATTGAAGGTTAGTCATTTGTGTGGGTAAAGCAGAAGTTAAGCATGTCTGAAATACATGGTAGCAAATTTTTTTGAATGGACTATGATGTTCTTGATAGCACTGCAATGTTTATCCAGCGGATCTAATCCAGAAAGGAATTCCATTAGGAGCTAGCATTTCCATTAGGGTGCTGTTAAATTTCTGTGCCACCTTGGATCAAATTATACGTTAAAAAGTTGTGAAATTTAGCTGTGAGGATACAAGACTACAGTATGCTTGACTGCTTCAGAAACTATTGGTGTGATTCAGAAACAGCAGTACACTGTCATATTGTTAATATGTTAAAAAAAGGCATCAGCAAAGTCAACAATGAAGATATGAGAACCTAGTTTTAATGTTGAGAGACTGAACAGAAGTTCTTTTATCCAGAGTGTTTGCATGGTTTTACACTTCTTGTATCAAAACTGAAGTTTAAACTGTGGATTTATGACAGTCGACATTAATGGAGACCATTGCCAAGGCAATTGTACCGGTCCTCTAAATGCTTGTATGCTGTGTGCTTTCTGTAAGCAGTTGCACAAGTCACATCAGATTTGCATGGATTTTTTTTTTTTTTTTCTTCTTAATAAAAAGGGAAGAAAAAGCTTTTTTTCACTGGAACTACTTCCAAATAAGTTACTAAGGAGATGGCCTAGAAACAAATGCAGACACGGATGAATAAAATCAGGGTGCAGCATGCTCTTTCAGAGATGTCTTGTGCAGAAAGGAAGTAAGATGTAGACATTTCTGTCTATGGTATTAGATATTGGTTTATTCTTTCTCTGCTAAAATACTTTGCATCTGACCCATTACTTCCATGTGAGTTTGGAAGTATGTGTGATGTCAAGAAGATTTTAGAAAACCAACTTTCTTTCCCTCATCTATTAATTCCTTACACTGCAGATTTCTGACCCAAGGCATTTATCAATCAGAACAGTTAGAGAGGCAACATTTGGGAGTAAAGGAAGGGGTGTAAACCTAATCTCTTCACAAGATTAAAAAACAGTAATAGAATAGCAAATACACTGTATCAGCTTTAAGAAAGCTTAATTTAAATAATCTATATATTCTCTAAAATAGATTTAAAAGCTCAATTAAAATGATTGTACTATTTCTATCTGAAATAACTATAATTCTTTTCCCTCCCTTCCTCCACCTCTTCTGCAGTGTCCTCCGTAAACCTTCCTGGAAGAGATTCTCGTCAGGGGGAGCCTTTTGCAAAAGACATGGCACATGTAGTTAATGAAATTTCAAGTGTTTTGTTAAAAGGACTGCAAGAAAAACCATTTGCATTTTTTGGTCACAGGTAAAAATACATACATTTGTAGATACTCCGGTGAAGGAGCTTTATCTTTGAACTCTAGGAATAGATAGTTACTTGCCTTTATTTGCAAAAACTTGAGGAAAATACCCTTCTGCAAAAGCTTTTTGTCAAGTCATCCTAAAACATGCTGTTGATGTCAAAGACTCTTATTACTTCAGGCACAACATCTTCTAAAAACGGCAGTGTTGTGTTTCTTTTTCTTTCTATACTGGCAAATTATAATTGTTCTTACTGTTAATATTTGTGTCAGTGCTTGCTCTAAAATGTAGGGGGGTAAACCACACATGAAACACATAGATTGTGAAGATCACTCTGTCACAAGAATTCAAAATAACTGTTCTTACTGCAAATTAAGGAGAATACTAAAAGAGAGACTAAAAAAAGGTCTGATTTGTAAAAGCAGACTGCACAAGAATACACTTCATGTCAATTAGCTAATATGACTATAACTTACATGTCATATGGTTTGAGTAACTGTTCAAGATAGCCCGTTAACACTGAAAGTCAAATGATATTTAAATTTTATGGGGTTTACATATGTTTTTGCTTACTTTGCTTTAATTTCTCTTTTTGCTGCAGCTTTGGATCGTATGTTAGTCTTGCAGTTGCACTACACTTGAAAGAAAAGTATGGACTAGAACCAATCCATCTTTTTTTATCAGGGGCACCCACCCTAAATGTAAGTTTCCGAATTGTTACCAGTATGAAACAAAACAGTAAGTTAGCTACCAAGAGTAAAAATAACATTTTAGAGTATGGAATGTAGAGTGGCTTTAACAGAAAACAATGTTTGCTTCTGAGTCTACACAGAAAAATTTCTTGTTTTCTTAAAGGAAATTAATTCTGAGGCAGAGAATTTCACATTACAGAGTATTCACTGCTGCTAACCTTAGCCTGGGGAGAACAGTCTCCTTAAACTAATGCCACATTTCTGAATACGGTATTATTTACTAATGGCCTCTTGCTTAATACCGAAATGTAATCAAAACAAAACATGAAGTGGCACTCCCTACTCTGTAACATGTGAAATAGCTGTCTTAACCTAATCTTTTGTAATCCTCCAGCACCAACCCTCCCTCAGTGTATTTGTCTGTTTCTTTCTCTTCACCTGCTTTGTTGGCTTTTTAATCTGTCCTCAGTTTCTGCTGAGGTTCCGGTGGTCTGCTTGTCTTTTCAGGAAAACAACAGTAAAGTGGCTTTTTCCTAGTCTTCCTGTCCTCAGATGGCATTTGCTATTTCCATTCTTCTGTTTCTGGGGCTTCTGAGCAATCCTGAGTACGAGCTAGTACTTGATGGAAGCAACTGTTATTCCTACGCATTTCCATAATCAGTTGGACTCTCTAGTTCTACATCAGTCAGATTTGTGTCCACTGCTAGGCTTTTCTTTCTCTTAAATAGATTATTAGTTATAGTTCAGTTGTGAGAATCAAACTTCAAACAAAATTAATTTAATGGTTACTTGTCTGTGTGAAAGTTTCAGACCTTGAGGGTACTTGGCTCACTCATAATCCGTATTTTCAGCAAACACAGCCTGCTAAGCTTTTCCAATAAGTGTTTTCTGTGGATGTTAAACTAATCAGCCGTTCATTGTATTTTGGAGACACAGAATCATTGTACTTTTTACTAAAACAACTCTTAATTAAGTTATTATTTAAAGTATGTTATATACAACACTTGATCTGTTTTGTCTGGCTGACAGTCTGAAGCATTTACTTACCTCAAAACCGCACATGGGGTAAAAGATGAAGACCTTCTTGCAAATCTAGAAATTTCAGGAGGAACTCTTTTTGAGGTTCCGCAAAATAAAGACCGTAAGAAACATCTGATAAATACTCTCAAAGAAGACTCTAGAGTACTTCACACATGGTCGTAAGTTTTACAATTTTGTATTACATTTATACTTGTATTTTACAGTTTTATTTCTGTCTGATTCAGGTTTTCATTTTTCTCTGTAATTTGTTCCTGTTTCTGTTACAAAAAAAGAGTATGAAACACTAAACAGTTTTCTCCTTTGTGTGCTTCTAGTAGTTAAGCCCTAGATGAAAACACTGCTTGTTGTAGCAATCACTACTGTTATTACAGAAGTGAACATGTCATGGTAGAATTACAGTTCTACACAGGATCTAAAGGAATATTCTGACCTCTTTTCTGAGGCTAAAAATCTCAACTGATGGTGCCTCAGGATCACTGAATTTAGTATCCTGATCCATGCCTAAGCAGAAGCAAAGAATCCCTGTCTTCTAGGCATCCAGAGCGCAACCAGCTGCTTCTGCCCTAACTGCTGTTCCAAGTGGATGTTACACAACAGCTCATGTAGCTGAGTGGTTAAAGTTTCTTACCTTGGCGAAGACAAGGACACTCTTGGATGTGGGACCCATTTTAGCCATAGGAACCTGATGCTTAATAACGCCCTGAAACATTAGAACTTGAATACAAGCAGAGAACATACTTGTTTATTGTAGATGATAATTTTCATTGCAGATTGAAGCTCCTTTTTTTCCTATTGGGTCATTCTTTCATTAAAGTTTTTAGTAATTGCAGCAGGGTAAGGACCTAAGAATCTTACAGACACAGTAATTCCTTCCGTCGATGTTCTGCACAGTCTAATTCCTGAAGTTTGTTATGTTTTGGAGGAGAAAGTGCTAATTTGTATATGGAAGAAACCTATATTTGGGGTTATTTCATGGAAAGTTTCATACTGCTTTATGTTCACAGTTTTGAGATGGCAGATGGGAATATCCCCTTCTCTTGTGATATTACCTGCTTTAATGGGTCTGAAGATCAGCAAGCACGTGATTTAGAAGGTACTTTGCTTATACTTACACATCTGCCTGTTGTATCAAATCAGTTAATGAAGAGCTTTTCTAGAGTCTTTAAATCAACAAAGCAGTCTCAATGTATGAACCAAACCAGTTGATACAGGATTTAAAATAATTATTAAATAGTAATTTTGAAATTGTTACATAGAATGACTCCAATTGTTAACATTTCTCTGTTTCTCATTTAAATATCTTTTTCAGCCTGGCATGATCTAACAAGTGGAGATACTTCCTTCTACAAACTTCCTGGAGGTCACTTTTATCTGCTGGAGCCCTCTAATGAAATTTTCTTGGTAAAACTTATAACAAGATATATAGAACATGCTGGCCTATGAGTATTTCCCTCTGTTTTAATGGCAGACAGTGTAAGATTAGTCCACAGCAGTTCAAAATAAGTCATTCTTTCTGTACAATTGCATGCAGCTATGCCTAAGAGTTGTTTTGTTCCTCCTGTGTAATCTTTTAGAAGAGGGAGTTTTTTTGATTTTTTTTGAAAATAAACATTGGCTTTGGGGCTTAAAAATAAAACAGTTTCCATCATTCTTTTTCCCTCTTCTCATCTTGCATGTGCACAATCCTTTATTTCATTCCATAACCTCATTTCCAAGAAATGACAGCTATGTTATTTTACTTTTAGAGCTTCTCTGTAAATATACTTAATGTAATTTAATACCCACAAAAATCCACAATTCTTACAGGAAGCTTAGTTTATTAGGTTTATTTAGAATAAGATGCAATCTAAAATATAGAGTGGGTATGCAAATACCCTTTACAGTCAACCAGCTTATGATTAAAAGATTTTACTGTTAGACAACACAATAAGGAGTTAAGGAGTTAGTGTTGCATTTTTCTCATCAGCGTTAGTTCATTAGCTACTAAAGGGTTAGTTGTTAGTGGGAATTATTTTGATTATTCTAGATCCCATATTTTTCTACCATTTCTTTTACTTTGGAAATATAGGCTTTCATGGCATCCTCCTTTGATAAACCTGCAAAGGAAAGCAGAGTCATTATCCTTCCATATTTGTCATCCTATAAACATGACTAGATGATGTAAATTTAATTGATGTAACACCTTTTTTCAGGTTCCATGTTTCCCACTTGGCTTTGGCTTTCAAATCTAGCATTCCTGGACATTCTGCCAAAATAAATGTATACCTTTAATTATCATGTAGATTTACATAACATTTGCTTGATTTCATCAAGATATGAGAGTAAATGTGAAGTATATATAGGAATAGGAGTACCAATATTAATATCTCCAACAGTAGCCTGTTTGTATAATCCATATAGTTCCTTCAGTTCTTCATCAGTTGGCCTTGTTTTTAATTTTTTTACATCTTCTGCAGCAGCATTAAAGTCAGCCTGATGGAAAAAAGAAAGTTTTCCTCTCAAGGAGTGTGCTTAAAACATTAAGGACAACATGCACAGTAGTATCATTAGACACTCGCCAATTACTCACTTGGGTTTAGTGGTAAATCTAGGCATTTTCCCATGAAAGATTAATAAAACCATAAGTTATTAGAAAGGGAACCAAGGCTACTTATCTGATGGGGTCAGCACCACTATTTGTGAACCTATTTTTTTCCAACAGCTTTACGTCTAAACGCTTGGACCCATTATTGCCTGTCTAGTGTCAAGGTATCTACAAACACACTCATGCAAGCAGTCTATACAATCAACACAGTGTAAATGTCTTTCACAGTCACACTGGGGGTATGAAGACGTTCACTGAACTTTACATCCCAGCAGTGATCTCTAAATCCTTCTGGCCCTGACTGCATAGTGCTGACTTAAGCAGCAGAGCTCAAATACCCTCTGGGGGTTACTTCCTACTTAGTTTCCACTTCTCTGCTGACAGTGAAGTAGGGAACCAACAGTTGGCACAGACGTGCCTGCTATTGCCAGGACCACCTTCAACACCCAACTCAAAACACAGGGGAAAACATTAAATTTGCCCCATTCATCATCATGCAGCCCTCACTCATATCAACCCAAAGCTATAGCCATTATTCTCTCTACATACTAGAATCATAGGATGGTTTGGGTTGGAAGGGACCTTAAAGATCATCTAGTTCCAACCTCCCTGACATGGGCAGGGACACCTTCCACTAGACCAGGTTGCTCAAAGCCCCATCCAACCTGGCCTTGAACACTGCCAGGGATGGGGCAGTCATAACTTCTCTGGGCAACCAGACTGGATGCCAGTGTGTCACCACCCTCATAGTGAAGATTTGCCTAGTATCTAATTTAAAAATGATGAAAACTGTTTTAATTGAAGTAACTGGATTTAGTCAGCTTGTATCAGAATTGAAAATGGATTATATGGATAACAAAAGGTCTTTCTCTTCTTTGCTCTGGATAAAGAAAATGTAAATATTTTCTTCTACAAAGTTTAATGTCAGAAATACAAAACCTCATTATTTGTTTTCCTAAAGGCTAGAAACAGGAGTGCAAGCTTCCTCACCTCAGTTGAAAGAGAAATTGTAAAACATTTCATAAAGTGTCTTCTGCCTCAATTCATCCAAGAGTTTAAATAACATTTGTGGGGTTTGTTTGTCTCCATTTTAAACACAAACTAAAATCTTCATTCCTGAGTTGCAGCTATGTGAGCAGAACCTGTTCTTTGCACTGAAGTAAAATTCAGCATTTCTGATAGCTGCAGGCTCCGAAGCCAGTCCTACCTTTCTGCTCTTGTTTGTAGAACTCAAGCACTCTTGGCTAGGTCTCCCAAATACTTTAACGATACAAACAGTAATAGTTGCCTGATGTCCCCCTTAGAAACCTGACAAAGTACAAAATTCCATAGATGGTACCATATAAATAGTCATACTCGTATAAGTATATAAATCTTGGAAAAATCTATGGAGGGTCCCATTTAAAAAGTAGCCATATTAGCAGCTTAGTTATTAAAATTAAATAATAATAAAAGCAAGCATTTTCCCCAAACACTTCAAGTATCATTAAAGCATCTAGTTGTTTCCAGCTAACTAAGCTCAAGGATTTCCTCAAAAGACAACAGTATTTTGAATAGATGTAGAGCATTTATTACGCAGAAGCGCTCAACAAGGAGAAACAAAATTAGCGATGCAACTAACATCATTGAATTAACAATGTCTGAAGGAAACTGGAACTGTACATCTCTGACAGTCCTAAAAGCAAAGCATTTATACTCACTCTGTTGGTATAGATGTATAAAAAGGATGTACGTTTGCTTACCAAAAGAAAATGTGATGGCCCACCACTCTTGAGGTTTCTTTTATAGGTAGAATTTATTAAAATAAGTATTTAATTCTAAATCCAAACACCAGGATTGTGACATTTTTGACTATATCTATCACAGACTCCTACATCACAGACATCTCTTAATACTATCCATACACGTACAAACAAAAGCAGCATTCATGCTCTGTTAACAGCAAGATTAAGACGTGCTATCAATAATAAAACATAACTGAGTTGCCACAATTGATTAAAGTTTAAATAAGTTCTATCTACCTTCACCTTTACACTGTAGCCACTGCTGCATGTGGGCCTCTGCTAGCACTGAAGTACAAGGACCATTCAAGTCAGTGGAAAGCTTCCACATGCTTTGAATTGTTTTCTGGTCTAAACTTCACAGTAAGAATGAACTAGAAGCCTTGCTGGACTTCTACAAGACAAAAATTAACTCAGAAAAAAAGGAAACCAATAATTTTATAAGCTTCTTATCTTCATACACTTATATCCTATCTGGATTTATTGGCAAGTATCACAAGATACTGTTTTAAAAAGATGCAAATGCATATCTTACACAGCAAGAAATACGCAGAAATAAAATGTAAACACTTGTTTCTTCATCTCCCTCTAGCTAATCATTGTGCACACACTGTTGCTCAGGATTTGCTTGCTTACACAATATATTTAGGAGCAGCCTATCAAAATATAATTTCCTTTTAATCACATGGCAATAAAATTCCCTTTTAACTCCTCAAATCAAAAGCAAAAGTATATATACAGACGTAACATACACACATGCATTAACGGTAAATGCACAAATCATCAGATTATTATCACAGACTCCATTTGTGCAAAGAAAAAAACTTGAATGAATTAATTTATAGCAGAGTATTTTACCAGTTTGCAAAACTTACAAATCTTTTAGAGCCTCCCTGATGGAAACATTGTTCTATTAAATTTGTCTTCACTCCCATACAGTTTGATTCAATGAATTTTTATGGATATGGATGGTAGCTGTCAACCAAAGCCACAGTGGATAGAAAACCTCTATAATGTCTAATGCAGAATGTGTAACATGTCGTAGCATTCAAGCACTGATTTTTATGTGAAAGTGTAACTGTACACAGCAATGGAATGGCAATATCATACTGTACTCAGCTCTTTCCAATGTGATTTATGGCTCATTGCATAATTGTCAAGCTAATAAATTTATGCTCTAGAGTGAATCCAAGGCAGAATAAAACAAACTAATTTCAATGATCACTAATTAAACAAAGTGTTTAATTTGGTGTTATGTTTGGGATTTGATAATTCTGACCCACTGAAGACGTAAGATTCTTCTCCTTTGCTGTAAAACACCACAATGAAACCTCTGTGCCATTCAGTGTAACTGGAGCTCAGAAAAAAATTGCTGAGCTACTGGCAATACTCTCCCTGCATCTAGGTCAGAGCATTATGCTGCTCTTTGCAAAACATGCATGCTAACCAAGCTGAGAGGGACATTATAATGAGACTGGGATAAAGGCACTTGCAAATCTTGAAGTGAAAGGAATAATAGAAAGCCTAATGAAGAAAAACAGTCTAATCCATCAGGGCATGAGCAGGACAAGGGAAGTATTCATCGTCTGCTACAAAGGTAGGAGGCTAAAAGCCAGCAATGGAGATAATTTTCTCAAGAACTATTTAACTCTATAGTCAGAGGCAAGGTAGAAGGAAGTTGTCTCTAGCCAAGAAGGAAAAAAGTAGCAACTTTCCTAACAAAACACAAGCCCATCAAAATGCACCACTCCAAACATGCACACACTCTAAAAATATATGCACAACTCCCTTAAAAATTACGCTTTCCAAATGCACACATACTGCTGCTTCAGTGTTAGAAGCCTCCCTCCTCCTTTTATAGCTAGATCCTAAAAAAATAAATATGTAACTACAAAATGCAGTCCTAGCAAACTCAGCTGCACACACAAAGAAAAACAATTCATGCACTCTAAACAGGTAAAGCTCCAAAAATTACATGACTTCTGCGAGTTCAAAATAAGCAGTATGTCTTTCAGCCTTCACTTGCAAGAAGTAATGCAGTATTTAACTTCCAAAGGCTTAGGTAAATTTCTTGCGCTGCAAGGTAACCTTGAGTTTGCAGTAATAATCCTTATGCTGGAGAAACACCTCTGATCTCCGACACGGCACTGCACAGATGGACAGCACATCCCCCTCCCTCTCCTCTCCTTGTGCCTCTTCCCCAGCAAATGCGAAACTGCTTACCTCGAGAGTCATGATGCTGCGAGGATGCCCGGGGAACAGCCTCCCTCCTTCTCCAGTGGGGATGTAGCGCTTCTGCCCCTTGAGTCCTGTGGTGTGAGCACGGTGGTGGGGACAAGCTCCAAGGAGGGTGTTGGGCTGGGTACCAGTGACCTCAGCTTGCCAGCCACGGCACAGCCACGCTGGCGCAGGACACGGGGGCTTGCTCACACCGCAGGGACAGCTGAGTGGCGACAAGTGCCAGGGAAGGCTTGGTGGGAGCATTAAGCACACACTAGCTTCTTCAGAGAGCTTGAGCTCGCTTCTATACCGCTGAGGATTAGGCTGCCCTCCTAAGAGCAGAGATACAGCAAGGCTTCCAAGCCCTCTCTTTGAAAAAGGAATTTCTTGAGTGATTTAAACCAAAACCAGCCCAGCTATTGCCACTGTTCCTCGGCCACAGCCCCTGCCTGGGACCTTGCATCCTCCAGCTGCAACTCTGAAAAATACGGGGGTCACCTGGGGGACACCACATGCCAGCAGTCACACACACAAAATACATTGAGAATGCTGTTTTTTTCTTTGCTCTGCTAAATGCAGGATTAAAAAAAAGAATATTAACTGATAAACTAACCTACACGGTAACCACTAATGGAAAAAAATCCATCCCCCCCTTACCTGCCAACTCATAAATTACTCATATTCATGCCTCTGTACACTTACAATTCCTTAAACAGGTTTAATCTACATGTATCTGTATAGTATTAAGCTATACTACTACATGCTTCAGCGTTTTAACCCCTATAAACCCAGATAAAAACACAGAAACGGAGTGTGCTCGTACAGATTTGTCACTGGCTCTCGGCAGGTTGTGGGAAACCCTGAGCATAGCTGCCTCTTACCTGTCACCTTACTGTGACAGAATACGATGTATACATGCAGTAGGGCACACATTGAACAGCAGCGACAGACCTCCCTATCGCTGTGAAGTCCCTGTGAAGGGCGTTTTGACTTGGCCATTATTTCATTAGACGATGTACGACAGACCAGATCTATTACCCCTGTAAAGCAATTTATGGTAGCACTCAGAACGAGGAAATGCCGACAGCAGGTTTCTACCATCGGCGCTCCGAGGCCAATGCGCTGTTTGTCTACCCGGTACTGGCTACTGCCCGCCTGCAGCCGGGCCCCGGTGGCTTCGCTCTCCGTCCGTCCGTCCGATCTGCGCGCTCTCCTTCTTCCCGCCCTGCGCAGCCCCTTCTCCGCCCGCTCCCACCCCAGGCCCCGTAGCCGGAGGCGGGGAGCAGCAGCGGCGGATCCCGCCACGCCAGCGCAGCGGCGGGCCGAGGGGCGGAGCTGGGCCGCTCTGGGCGCCGACGCGCTGCAAGCGTCGCCGTATGCGCGGGGAGCGTGCGGGTGGCGAAGGCGTTGGAGGAGGTAGGGGTTGCTTCGCTGCTGCAGGCTGGAGAGGGACGGCTGAGGCCCGGGCACTGGAACGGGCACTGGAACGGGCACGGGAGGACGCCCCGCTCCTGCGGTGGCGGCGCTTTGGTCCTGGTCCGGCCTGCAGCTGATCCGCGGGCAGGCTCGGCCCAGCGGCTCCGGGGAGGCGGGTGGAGGCCGTGGCTCGAGCCGGCCGGTGCGTTTGCAGCGCGATCTGCTGGTGCCGCGTGGTACCCGCGTTCCCGGAGCGGGCGCGCAGGAGGCCTGCGGAGAGGGGCTGGCTCAGGCGGACGCGGCCGAGCGCGGGGTTTGGTCGTTTCTCCCGAGCGCGGGAAGCAGGGGGCCGGGACGGTGGTGCGAGGTGCAGGAGTTCAGCGTGTCTTTATTTCATCGTTGCTTTATTTCCTGTTCTTGCACGCTTATTTTCCTCAGTAGTGCCCATTTTGAAAAGTTAAACTGAAAAATCTCTCGGCTCTTGCTCCTTTCTGAGGTGTAAGTGGCTGTCTTGGCTTGATAACCCTTGCAAAAGGCCATCAGAGCATCCCTAATTGAAAGCTGTTAAAAACGATAATCCTCAGCTCTTTTTTTTTTTTTAACCTATCATAAGCTTCCATTTCCAGTTCAGTCCCATACAAGATTTCTAGTGGTCATTTCCAGTCTACAGCTGCTACCGTGTTTTGGTTGTTGCAACTGTAATGGTAAAGCAAAGGGGATCAGATAACTGCATGGATGATAGCTCCATTAAGGACTAATGAAATAGGTTGGCAGATCTTCCATCCCTGACGGAGCCATTCTGGGTGGCTGGGAGCAGAGGGGAATGGCAGCCCCTCCCTCCCCAGACAGTTTCTCCAGTTCCCAGTTCCGGAGGCAAACAGCTGGGATGAATAGAGCATCGCCTGGATGCCCTGCAGGGCACTGCACACGTTCTGAGAGTACTGAGAGGGCACAGTGCTTTGCTGCATTTTGAAATACCTATTCAGTTTCACTGTTCTCTGAAAAGCACTCCTGTGTTTCTGACTCATGGATGACACCATCACAGTTCACACTGCATTGATAAAAACTCCTGTTTGTAAGCTTGGCTATGCAACACTGAAGATATCACTGACTCAGCAAGGAGATGGTGAATGGTAATCCAAGGAGGAGTGTGGGGCCTTGGTGAGTTATTAGGGACTGTAGTCAGGCCTGCGTTCCTGCTCTGTTACTCAGGACTAGATTAGTCAGATCTGTAACAGTTTTGCTTTCCCTACACCCATTTCATTGAACCTAAAGGCATGGTCTAGGTCACACAAGAGTAAGAGACACGTGAACTTTCTGGAAGCCCACAAAGGATTCCCTTCCTCCATGGAAAGCATAAGTTTATTAGTAAGAGTCTGCAGGTTTCTATCATACCTTCTAAATGCAGACAATAGACATGGATAGACAATGCAAACACAAGACATTGATTATGGAATGAAAAGGCAAAGTTTTAAAAATCCTCAATAAATTCAGGAAGTTGGAGCTTGTTTCATGTTGTGATTCTGCGTTTTTTTGGTTTTGCTGTTTTTCATGTCATTATCCTGCTACAGCGTAGCTGCTCAACAGTGAAAACTGAGTGGTCATTCAGCTTGTATGGTTCTGGGATTTTTTGTTTTGTTTTTTAGAACTATGGCATCTCCATCTGCTCTTGAGCTTCAGAAGGTCTCTTGTACTGGTGGTGCCTTGCTGTCCACTCTGCTGTTTTAATTACTTTTCATTTAAAAGAGGCATCTGCCGTGTGAAATAAGTGTTAAAGATCAGCACCGAGCTTATATGAAGGTGGCAGTAATTGCCAGTGTTGCTTTGAGATGTGACATTTCTCTTCTGTGTTCCCAAAAGAAGCTTCTGGTACTGATGTCCACAGCAACCAGCACAGTATTTGAACTAACATTTACGTCTTTCTTCCCTTCACAGCTAGGGTGGCAAAACACAAAAGAGGCTCAGGATGTCTGTAATTCAGCAAGGGACAGCACCACTTCGCAAAGCAAAGAAAGCCACTGTAAAAACATGTCTAGATAACCCCTTTGTTTTAGAGTGGAAAACCATCGATGGTGAAGATATGCATTTTATATTACAGACCTTAGAAGAAAGGATTAAACATACTGGGCTTAAAAAGATTGAGACTCCAAGAGTGAAAAAACGTTCCCTTACAAAAAAACAAATGGAAAGAAAATGTAATGCTGGCACCAGTGAACTCCCTAAGGAAGAGAACGCAGAAGGCCATCGACAAAAAATGGGGTGGACTGACACAAGTATCAGAAGACAGCTTGCTATTGGAGTTAATGAAGTTACAAAAGCATTGGAAAAAGATGAACTTCTTCTCTTGCTGGTGTGCAAGTCTGCAAAGCCTGCTATGATCACATCGCACCTCATTCAGCTGAGTGCAAGTCGAGCCACGCCAGCAGGGCAGGTTCCCCGCCTCAGCGAAACTATTGCACCGCTTCTCGGCTTAACATCCATTTTAGCACTAGGCTTTAAGAAGCAGTCTGATAAATTTACAGAAGCAATAGCAGCAATAATTCCCAAGATACCAGCTTTGGAAGTGCCATGGTTTCAGTACAGAACTGAAGAATCTGTGGATTTTGCTCATGAAGGTTCTTCAGAAAATGAAGAACCTGAGCAGCTTGCAGAGGTGCTGGGGGATGAGTTTGTGAGCCTGAAGCGGAAGCGTATGGAAAGCAATCTTTCAAATGTAATTTTGCAGCCTATGAAAATCAAGAAACTTGTCCCAAATCCAAATAAGATTAAAAAACCACCTCGCAAAAAGAAGAAAGCCTTTTCAGCATAACTGATTTTTTAAATGCAATATGGAGTACAGCTGTAACTGAACTATCTTGTTAGGCTTTAGGGTGTAAAGCACTTGAATACAAGGTGGACTTGATGTTGCATTCAGTCGAGGTACTTTCTGCTTTAATAAAGAATATTGCTCAAACTTGGGTGCGAGTCTTTACCTGAGAGCAAATATTTCATTTGCAGAGTTAAAATTGATAATATTCTGATGTAACTTAAGAAGTCATAATAAGTACATCTTTGGAATTAATGCAAAGCACTAAACAAATTTTGTGTTTTTATACAGATGAACATGCTTCAAGCAAAACAGATTTAAATATAATTATTCAAACAAGTCAATACCAAAAGTGAAAGTTTATTTAAACAAAGGTCCATGCCAGTATAACTTTTAAAGCTGGTTCAATGCTTGTTTCAAGTAAACAGCACAGTTGGCCTTCCCTTTGGAACTGTCATAGTTTGCTGAACAATAACCTTGTTCTGGTGAAGAACATAGGCAGACTCGACTTCCATAATACCTGGTGTCTCATATGCTGAAGGAACAATATTTTCAAATACAGAACAAACCCCAATTACTAATGCTGCATTTTGAAAGATGAATTCCTTATGCAAGCTATTAACACACACCCTGTGAGAAAAAGTAAGCTAACCTAAACTCCATTTGATTTCTAAATGGAGTCTATTAATTTCCCAGGAAATTAGATAAGTCATACACTGTTGGGTATAAAGTAGGTGACAGCTGTAACTGCTACAAGACTGAAAACATTCCACATATCTTTTGAGTTTTCTTTAGTTTTACTAGAGACTACAGATAGTTTCCTAATGAGATATTTGTGTTGTAGGAAGGACGGGGAATAGTGCTGCAATTCAGACAATCAAAATAAACAGCCAAGGAACTTACTTGGCACTCTGCAGT